ATTGATTGTGTCGTGAGACTTTCAGCTCTTTGATACCATGAAAGTATTTAAACTAGGTTTATAGAGACTGATTTCATAAACTCAACTCAATTGAATTCAGTCCTTGCTGCTCTTCAACAGCAGCATGTTCTTTATACAAGATTTACATACACGCATGCAATAATAAAGGTCACGCATGCAATAAACAACTACAGGAAAGTGTTTGTCTAGCTGTGTGAGTTTATACAATATTCTTCTGTCCATCTTCATCAGCATCTTTGACAAGGTCTCATGGCTTCCATTTAGAGTAATCATTTCAAGTCAGCAGCACATGGCTTAGCAGCACATGACTCAGGTAGATCGAACTGCATGGATTGCTGACAATGGAGTGGTGTGCTGACCTGGAGGAAATGTAGGTTTATCATTTTTGAGCTCGTAGTGTAGCTTTTAAATTTGTCTATGACTTCTTGTATGTAATATTCACAATATTCTCAACCACTGTACCTTGAATGAACTCATGGATTGGAGGGTCTTCCACGAACATGCTTCTCACTCTTTACATCCTTCAAGGCAATGTACAAACTATATATAGAATCGCAAATTTTTTTCTAGATTACCTGAGCATGTCTCCGCTTTGTAATTTTGGGCCGCTCAAAGCTGGTGATATGCTGAACGTGTTACCATTGCCATTGCCATAACTTGAAGGATGACCAAGGGCAAGGGGCATCGACCTACCTGGAATTCGTGGCTTCTCTTACTAGGAGGCAGACGGTTCATGGTTTTAATATTTTAGGTCCTATTTTTTAAGGGATACTTAGGATGCGGTCCCTAATCCTTAACATTCTTTGACTAAAACCTTAATGGTATTCAAAGTTTGATTAAAGTCCCTCGACTTTATACACCTCATTACATTACAATTAATATTTATATTTTTATAGTTTTGACATTAATTGTTTGATATTTTATGAGATTTATAATCCTTTAAATTTAAAATTCCTCATTATAATACTATTAGAAACGGTTACAATAAAAAAATTCAAACATTTTGATTGAATAAATGGATAAAAACTATGTAAAAATAAGAAATAATAAATGACAAAAGAATGTATCCATAGTGTTAAAAAAATTGGTACATTTTACAAAAAAAATGGTACATTTCACATATAACAAAGTGGTACATTAATAAAGAAGAATGTGTACATTATAAATAAATTAGGGTACAGATAAAAGATTAAAAAATTATGAGTACAAATGAATTTTTAAAAAATATAGGCCCTAAAAAAATTAATACATGGGTACAAAATAAAACTAAAAAGAAAATACTACAAATTTAAAAAAAAATGTTGCAAATTAAAAGTGGGTACAAACTAAAAATATAAATATATGATACAAAGTTTAGGCATAAAACATAAATATACCATATGTAATTTTCTATCATTAATTAAATATACAATGTCACGTGACGGTATACACATAGGTACAAACACAAATAAAACTTTAAAAAATATGGGCACAAAAAGAAACTAATATATGGGTACAAATTAAAAATGAAAAAAAAATTGGTACAAATTAAAAATAGGTACAAACTAAAAATAAAAATATATGATAAAAAATTTAGCCATAAATATAAATGAATGAGATTTTAATCAATGAAGTAGAAAAAGAAGGATGTGAACCTAATTTCTCCATTTTTAAATCACTCTGTACATTCTGGTCACTTCTTCCAGGATTAGGAAACATGAAGGAGTGGTGGCAAGGCCCTCACTTGGCATTAACCACTCGAGTTGCAAGTTGTCCACAAACGTACTACAAGCAGGGAAAACGAAACAACAAACATTTCCTGCGGTTACAGTTACAAGCTGATACCCTAATATTACTATACAAATATAAATCAAAATTTCACCAAGACCTATGAACGTACGTTCTTGAACTAATATTAAACGTTAGAGATGTAGGAATCTTCCAAGGATTCATACCTGTTGTGGGCATAGATATCAATGATGCGCCATCTTTACATGCTACTGATTACCAAAAATCACCCCATACAAGTCTCTTTCTTCCCTTTGAAACCTAAAACCCTAATCAACCCTTCATAAGTCATTCTTTTTATAGCAGAGTAGCGCCATCTTTACATGCTACGTGGTTTTCAGATGTAAGATTTAAAACCTTCTTCTCGTCGACCAGTACATCCGGCTCATCCAAAACCGAATCCATTTTTGCAGTTTTGTCCTTGAAATCTCTCTCGATTTTCCATGGAGATCCCCAAGGATAAGCCGTCCGCTGTGTTTCTCGATCGGACACCTCGTTCCAATGAAGGAAGAGGTAATGAAATTAACCGATTCCTTCGACAAGGATCAAAATTTGGGACTCAATATCTGAGAATTTACGTTTTTTTTTTTTTTTTTTTTTACGATTTTTCAGGGTGACTAAGTTACTTGATGAGGAAATTGAAGAGGATCGATGAGATGTTCTGGAATCGGGAGGCTCTCAAGAGGTGAAAATTTTTTTTCAATTTTATATTTGGTCTAATATAAATCATTAAGTTGTATATATATATATATATATATATATATTAGGACTCCTATATTTGGCCGGAGTAGGATTTGTATTCTTCCTTTCCTTGAGAGATATGGCATATCTGTGTGTGTGTATATTATAACCCTAACGATCAATAGGTACGATTTGAAGTATATTCAGCCATTCGTTTTCTATTATATTATGGCGAGTGATGATGGAGAATTGCCGATCTTCTCCTCCAGCAACGACGATATATTCGTCGAGATACTTTCATGGCTACCGGTCATATCTCTCCTTCGATTCCGTTGTGTATGCAAGTCATGGCGCGACTTAATCTCTACTTACCAGTTCGTCGCCAAGCACCGAGCACATACGAATGACAATAACAAGAATGTCCTGATTCTCTTTAAACACCCCTATCCACTTCCCCATGACTGGCCACCAATCCCCTTTCGATTTCCCGACTCACTGACTACCAATCACTGAAGAAGAATGTTGGCGGCGCCTCCACCTCAGCAGCCGCATCATCAGCAATACTAAGCAGCCGTAGAGACCTTGAAGATGAATTTGCATTTGATACTAGTGTCTACAGTTCATCCCTTGTGGGTTCTTCCAATGGCCTCATCTGCCTACTACTTGACTGGCCTCGGCCACCTCGTGACTACTATGCTATGTAAACATAAGGCTTCTCTTGTGGAACCCTAGTACCAGAACAGCCCGTAAGTTACCAGACATTGATTGGTTTCATTACAACCCGTTTTATTATGGATTCAGCTATGATTCCATCACTCAAGACTACAAGGTCCTTTTGGGCGGTCAAAATCCTAACGGTTGTGAATTGGTTGCAATCTTCGCACTCAAAACGGGTTCATGGAAGAGTGTTGAAGATCCCCTCGGCCTGGAGGTTGCCTCGTTAGATATTCATGATCGAGGGTGCTTCTTAAATGGAGCTCTACATTGGCATGAGTATTATTGTTATGAAGATGAGGATGGGAATGAAGATGAGGATTGGAATGAAGATGAAACAGGTTATATGAGAACAAGAATCGTATCCTTTGATTTCGCACAGGAGAAATTTCATTCGTTTTCCTTTATTAGGCATAAAGGACATATGGGGATGGCGGGGGAGTGGGGACTATTGGAAATCGTCTCTTCTTTTACACTTCCTGCTATACTTCCACAAATCGTCCAGACTTGGAGGAGGCTAGCCTTACCATATGGGTGATGAGGGAATATGGGGTGGATCAATCTTGGACTATTTTTGCGAAAATCCGACCGGAGATTTTCCCTCCAAACGTGAAGTGGTTGAATCCTATATTTTCATATGGAAGACGATGGTGCAGTTTTGATGCAATCGAGTCAGGGTGACTTGGTATTATATATGCGTAAGGAAGAGAAAGAGGAAGAAGACACATGCAGGATTGTGCTCAAGATTTCTGATGTTGGAGAATTGCCGGCTAGGTACGAAGAGACGGTTATGTACGTGGACACCTTGGTTTCACCGGTGATTGGCGGCGGTTAGATCATATATTTGATTTGAAACATAACAACTGGAACTGGTAGTCCGAGTCTTGCATTTCGTATGCGCTTTTTATTAATGTAACGTATATGCCATAAAAATTAAGATAGTGGGTATTATCTATTATTATTTAGAATTATATTAGTTGCTCTTGATCTATTCCTCCTTTCAATCATGTACATTTGTCTGCGGCTCGATCGATATAATCCAAGCTGCATTTCTTTATAAATGAGACCAAACATACATGCATATCCTTATGGAAGAGAAGGAGACAACGACAATAAATTTGTATATCAATTTGTTGTTAAAAATTGTAAAGAAATTCGATTAAAAAATAAAATAAAATTGTAAAGAAATTTCGGTTGAAATTGAATACTGAATCATAACCACTAGAGATTTTATAGTTAATTGGTAAAATCAAGTAGTTTAGTATTAAAGTTTTTATAGTACACGTGGCATGTGAATTGTAAAACAATGTTGAATAAAAAATCTATGGGCTATAGATGTTCAGTCTAGCAGATAGGAGTTTGAGGCACCTAAATTGAAAGCTCCCCTTTATTGATCAGTAGTTAGATTAAAACTAAAAATAAAGGATAGTGTTAATTGCAGACTGATTTTTACCTCACACACTTTTGTTAATTTTTTATCATTGTTTTTTTTCTCAATATATTCGATCCGATAGTGGAGGATTGAGGGGTGTGTGACAGTGTGAGAAGTAAAAATGAATGATATTTGGGGCTATTGTCACCATTTGGCCACTGACTTTACAAATCTCTTAATTTTCCATCATAATACTCATGGCTTCTCGCTAAGAGGCAGAGGGTTCATGGTTTTAATATAAGAAAATTGTCAAAAACAATCCAAATGGAAAATTGAGATTGTAAAGTCCAAATTCAATTCATTAATTTTGCAGAACAATGTCCAATTTTAAAATCATTATGTACTTTCCAGTCACTTCTTACAGAATTAAGAAATATTATGAGAGTGGTGGCAAAGCCGTCATTGGACATTAACCGCTTGAGTTACAAGTTGCCCACAAAAACGTACTACAAGCAAGAAAAACAAAACAAATAATATTTCCTGCGGCTATAGTTACAAGCTGATAGGTATTTACTATTTCCCTTACTGTTACTATACAAGTATGAATCAAAATTTCACCAAAACCTATGTACGTACAATCTTGAAACTAATAAGAACGTAAGATATGTAGGAATCTTCCAAGGACTCAAACCCCATCAAGTGCTTCACTCTCTGTTAAACCTGTTGTGGGCAAAGACATCACTGACGCTACTTCAATCGAAAAATACAGTTATCGAATACAAGATAAATATAATTGCAGCTTGGTTGCAACTTACGAGAGAGAGAGAAAGAGAGAACGAACAAATAAAAGAAACAAACCCGTGATAAGATAGAACGGAACAATGCATGAAAGTATAGCTTCAACAAAGATTTGAGTTCTCATTAGATTCATTTCCACATAAAACTTCCAAATTCATGATGATTTCAAATCCAACTTCTCGAGTCAATCTGTTCTTCCAGAGTAGCTGGTTCAATTCAAATAATACCGTTTGCTTATACCGTTGTCTACGTCTTCATTTGCGCTGTTTACAATGTCAAGCGCAAACCATATAGTTTGGTAAACATAATAACACCACAAGAAGTTACATCTTTATCAAACAGAAAGAAACACGTATGATCCTACACTAGCCGGCTTAATTCCTAACTCGGATTTTTGAGCTCGTAGTATAGCTTTAAATTTGTCTGACTTGAATGAACTCATGGATTGGAGGGTCTTCCATGAACATGTTTCTCACTCTTTACTGTTGGAAATTATATATTATAATTAATATTATAACATTTAATTTTTGTATGAATGAAAAATAAGAGTCGTGTTATAGTTGAATTCAAATTCATGAGTTGTATTTGTTCGTTGGAACTTTAGGCAACAGTCATAATGTTTCAAAAAGGGTGACTTGAGTTCTATATAAACTCAAGCATCCCACCTGTCTAAAAAAATTAAGAGAAGAGTTTTATCCAATGTCTTAGTAAAAATCTGAATCGTGTCTTGAGAGTACGGAATATATGAAGTTGGCTAAAGTCCGAAGATTGAAGTGCTTTGACTTTGGATTATAGATTGTTGAATCCTGGAAGACAGACGCCTACCAAACTACAAGCACAAGAGTAGAGGCGAAATTCTGTCTTTAGGACATTAATTGCATTTATGCAAGCCTCAGTCTCCAAGTTTGTCAGTTTTTCTAACTCTTTCTAGTTGTTTATATTATAATCTCATATATAAATTGATGTTGTGAATTTCTTTATGATTATTATTAATGGAATTCTTGTGTTATTTTCATATTTTCTAATATTGCTCCAACAATCTAAAGACAAAAACTTTTTCTCTTGCATTGTTAGAGAACATGAGTATGAGTAATAGAAGTTAAAATCAATAACATTGAATGTAGCCCTAAACGCTAAAAAGAAGAAACTCTGATCATTCTTTGAAAGATTTGTGGGGCTGAGTTTTATATGCATATTGATGTATATTAGTAGAATAATGTCTGTATGTTGCCATACTAGTGTTGGCTGCATCATACGTTTTTGAACTTCTGATTTATATATACTGGAAGATGTCTTTCGCCTTTCATGGCAGTTATTTACGTGCTTTCATTGTTTGCATATGTATGTTATGGCATACATGAGTATATGTATACCTCTTGGTCCTGGCTATTGTCTATAAAATGAATTTGCCATGCATAAGAGATTAATAAATAAATAAAAAAATATATCTGCATTTGATAGTGAAAGGGTATGATGTTTTTGACCAGTTCCCACCAAGTTAAAATTTGAATTTGTCATATGGAATGATGCCCAGAGTGTTCTTTACAGAGAAATAAAAAAAAAAGAATGAGTATTTGTTGCTGAGTCTAGCGTTAGATCAGAATGCATGTTGCTTGTTGTATATTCAGTATACAAAATAGAGAAAGATCAAGTGCCAGTGAAGGGACTGGTGGTGAATTGAAGAAATATTGGAATTGATACAATGATCAGTATGCAAACTGTGGTGCTGTTTGGGGTAAAGTGGAGTTCCAAATTGGAAAACTGTTTTTCCTTGTGTCAGTTATATGCTTGGTGTGTTTTGCCGTCTGCCGTGTCTCTGGAGATGACATCCTTTTATACCCAACAAATGAACAAAGGGAAAGGGCTGCCTCTTTGCTAAACGTTGGAAGGGCATCATGACTTCCACGACCGTAATTAAATTAAGAATGTTATGTGGCAATTTGGATATAGGTTTTCTTTCAGATTTTGCAATCTGAAAGTTACAACTCTACATGAAGAGGTGTAAATCATGATACGTTTCAATGGAAATGAATTACATGGTCTCTATTCCAATCAATTGGTTGAGACTGACGATAGCATGAACGATGATTTTTCCCATCTATATTCATGAACAAATGCAGAGCAATTCGATGTTTGGTTGTGCCCAATATTTCCTAAAGAAATATTAGTGGATTAAAATGATATGCCTTGTGAATGTTAGCATTGGATTTGAATGCATCTATGTTTTAAGGATTTCCTTTTATTACCACCAAAAGATGTCTTTCCTCTTTCACTGAATTGTGTCTTTGGGGTAGTTGAGAAGATGCACCACTTGGCATCATCTGATGAAAAGGCACTGGAATTTGGTTTAGAAGATAGACATACAAAGAGGCCATGATTGAGAGAAGATTAAGTCTTGAAATTATTTAAACGAGGAACAACGTCAGTGTTTGGATAGTTTGCGTGTGGACCTCAATAAAAGTGTACATACTTTTTTCATGCTACTTTAAAGAAGTCTGCATTTTCGAGAAGAGGGAAATGTCATGGCAACCAATAAGTTAAAGTGTGGGGGTCTTTCGTAAAAGGAATGACGAGACACTGAAAAAGAGGCTTATTGAGTAAGCATGCACAATTGAATTAGACAAGGTTATGCTTATTAAGTAAGCATATGAAACTGAATGTACATAGCCATTGGTTTGTGTTATTCATAGCTTAGAGCATCCACATGTACCAGATGAATTCAATGACGCTAACTAATTAAATTTTTTACAATATGAAGTCAAAGTATGTGAAATCCCGTTCCCGGATTTCACTATTTAAAATTACGTATCTCATATTCATAGTTTCGCCGCGTTTATATTTATGGCGTATAAAATTTTATTTGATAAGTAAAAGGACGAAATTGCCCCTATTGTGTTAAACGTGATTCTTTGTGGACGTACTTGATCTTTCTATAATTTTCCAGATTTCTTTGCATATTTGGATAGTACGTGTTGATACGAACGCATGGGCACAAATGGAATGTAATTTGAAGTTATTAACGAACAAAGACAAGGGAAAAATGGTCCTTTAATTATTAAATCAGGAAGGCTCCAAATTTGTTGAAGCAGGAATGGGTGGGATGAAGCCACGTGTGTGGTTGTGATGAAGAGAAGAGAAGAGAAAGGGGTGTGGAACTGCCCAATCAGGGAGGGGCAGACCAATGAGAGGAGAGAGTTGGGAGGGGAAAGAAGATGAGAGAAACACAGGATCACCCTGGACCTGACGACCCAACCTGGTTTAGCCGAACTTCTGTGAGTTTTCCGACGATTTTTCGTCAGTTTTCCGACGAATTTCTTCGAGCTACCACCTGGAAAACCTTCCCCAATTTTCCATATCCCATTTACACCCATAATCGAAGAAGTTTAGCCCATTTCACGAAGAATGGAACCCGTTGGTGTTAAAGGGTGCAGGGCGGCGATTCGCCATTTCTGTGAGCACCACCGTCGACCACCACCATCAATCGACTCCTCTCAACCCCAGGAGCAAGGCCCAAGCATTGGATAAGGCGTTGGAGTTCGTTTGGTGACGAATTGAAACTCACCCTTTTCGGGGTTTCCGACGGTTTGAGGGATTTTCCGGCCACTTTCCGGTTGAACTAGGCTTCGACCCAAGTATGAAAAATGTTCATCTCCTTGAGTTGTACATTTTTGCAAAATTTGGTGAATTTTAGTGTTGGTCAGAATTTGGGGTTTCTGTTCGCCGAAAACGGACACCTGTGGCGGCGTGTGAGGTGGCCAGTGAGCCGACGCTGCCTTTTTAAGTTAAATTTAATGTTCTTATTCAAATTTGATAACCGTTTGATATAGTTCGATAGTTTGAACCTAGTATGGAATATTACGCCACTTGACCATTTTGTGATTTGATGATCTGACCGTTGGATCGTCACCAAACCTTAATACATTATAGTACGTAATATTTGAAGACCATAGGAATTGACGGATTGGGAATCCGATGTATGGATCTTTCCAAATTGAATTTCTAAGTTTGTAAAACCAAATGTTAATAGCAACCTAATTCTAACAATTGGCGGAGATCCTTGGGAAGTTACGGATCAGAAATCCATGGGCGGATGTTCCAGATTGACTTGTATAGAGTTGTGGACCTCACCTTTGACCGAGACTTGACTTTTGGTCAATATGCTACAAATTGATCTTCAATATTAAAATCAATATTACTAGAGACTATGTAGGGCTTAGTGGGCCTATATTGGTTAGTGAGTTATTCCAGATAATATATACATCGGTTTACACGTATGGGACGTCATATTGTGATATATATGTGTTTATTTATCTTCTTAATAATGTGAATGATAAGTATGATAAATGTTATGACAATGTGATCCTAGAATCCTATTAGAAGTATTCTGTAGAACTTATAAGCCCTGTTTGGCAGATCGGATAAAGGGTCGGCTAGGACTAGTTATACGGACACGGGTGTTTGGTGTTCACTCGTACTAAATAAGCGCCGGATTAATTTAACCGGTCTGTTTATTTAACACGGTATATGCCGAATTAATAAAACCAACCAAAAGGTTCAGATTATTAGTTGGCCCTCTCTCTCTCGCCTTCTCTCGGCGTCGTCGTCCTCCCTGTCACCTTCTCTCACCATCGCCGTCCTCCCTTGTCGCTTTCTGTCGCCGTCGTTTTCTGTCGCCGTCGTTTTCTGTTGCCGTCGTTTTCTGTCGCCGTCGCTTTCTCTCACCATCTTTACTCTCCTAGTCCTCGTTGTCCTCTCCTTTTGGCCTTCCTCATCACCTACTCGCCATCTTCCCCTGCAACTGGGTATTGTAGAGAAACATGGTGCGGCGAAGAGATGATTTCAATTTGGGATTCTTCCGCAACTGGCTGTTTGAATTTATTTGGGATTTTTCTGCAGTCAAGGAAGAAGAAGGGAGAGAAAGGGAAGGAGTTTGGGGGGTGCGACAAAGAGATCTAGGGAACAATTATTTGGGATTCTTCTGCAGTCGGGGAAGAAGAATGAAGAGAGAATGAGGGAGTTTGAGGGATGCGGCGGAGAGATCTGGGAACAAAAGTGATGGTTTCTGTTTTTTTTTTTTTTTTGAATTTTTTGTAAGTTTAATTTTATTTTAAGTTTGATTCCTCCTATCCGGTATAAAATCAAACAAAGTATAAATAATACGGTCCTTAGTCCGATACTGCACCAAACGCCCGACTAATTTAGTCAGTACTATCCGGTGGCTATTTATCCTATCATCCGACAGAAATAGTCAGTACAATCCGAGCTGCCAAACAAGGCCATATGGTTGGGTGACATATTAGTTGGTGGCCATGAGAAGTTGATGGTGCAGGTGACTATGTTGTAACTCATAGGGGTTGAGGTATGGGTAGGTTGTGTGTTGAATTTATTGCACCATGTAGCAGCAGTACATGGATAGTCCTGCTTGGTATATCCACGATGGATGATCTCCGCCTGCACGATTAGACTATGCCTATGGTTCTGCTTGGTATATCCGCGATGGGGGACCATACGTATTGTAGAAGTGGTGAGGATTAGTTGTACTTGGTACATTTCAATAAGCGATCATATTTTGGTTGGATTCCGTTGAGTGGTCCGGAATCCCTACTCTTGCTCACTTCCATAAAGATAGTTAGACCCTAGATTCGAGTGAGTAGAAATTGCTCACAGTAAACGTTATGTTTATAAATTAGAATTATCATAATCCAGGTAGGGAATTACGTAGAATTCCTTTATTAAATTTCGTGTATTGAAATGCGATCTTACTAACTGATTAATGTAGTTAAATGTTAATATAGTGCATCTCTAATTCTTAGGACTGATTAATTGGAGTGATTGTGGAATGATATTGGATGTGATTGTTATTATTATGATTAGACTCGTTGACCAATGCGGTTAGAAAATAATATTGTGTTTCGTTGATTGTTCCTTGAGATGTTGTATATTATAATTGCAGTATTATGTAAAACATAGTGATTTATGTGATGGATAAACTGGAAATCTTGATTGTCATGTGGGTTTGTTATGTAGCCTTAAATCTAGTAATTTCATGCTTATTAAGTTCTAATAATTGATTGAGGAATGCTATGTTTTTCCGTTTAAACGTACTGTGATAAATGTCGGAGTGTAGTGAATGGTGAACTACGAATGGCTTGATCCCTATTTAGGGTACGTAGGCAGTCTAATGAGAAAGTTAGATGCAGCCATAAAGTATACGAAAATTACTAAGCAATTCAAATCTTGATTTTATGCTTTGTACATATCCCAGAGGCGGGGTTTGTTGGATATACGGACACTTGGTGACGTCACGTGTCGATTCTGGACGTATGTCGGGGTCGGGGCGTGACAAAGTACATAAGTGGAAATACATGCAGTCACATAAGGAAATCAATCCTCAATTAAAGGTGTACTGGATAATTTGGATATGAAGCATATTGACTTCATATGTTGTGATGGTTTGTCGAATAGGACAAAGTAGAATGTCTAAATTGAAAAGAGTAATTTGCAAGATAAAAGAGATAATAAGCAATATATCTTATGATAAATAATGTTTAAGGTATGGCAAGGTTAGAAACCTTCTTACAAATACCTTAAATGTGGAGGAGTTTACCCAAGTGCTTGGTGTTAGCATGTCCTAATATAATTTTGAGGACTTGACATTTCAAAAAATGTAAACACAACTACTCTCGTATGAAATATAATTTTATAAGATGGATTGTGCACACCATTAATGATAGTCAACCTAGTGGTGGATCCAATTATTAAAGGTTAGACTAGAGAGTAAGTTGATCATCGAGGGGAATGAGGCTAAAGCCAACATAACTAATAAATCAGCTGGACGGAAACCTAACTTAGTTAATTGAAGATCCCATGGTCTAAGTTCAATAGGCAAACTGGTTGGTCATAATTCAAAGAAGTTAACACACTACCTCAATCCTATGGTGGAAGAAGTGTGTGTCTGTAGAAGTTTTAAGATGTATATTTATACTTAATGACAGTGATATCTTATAAATAAGAGGAATATTGCAGGGCATTCTTAATCAGTGGTCACCTAAGTGACAGTAGAAGTAGGTTGCTTATATGAATATGAGATGACTAAATTCTCTAAAGCTCTCATGAATCCGGGATTTGTTCAAGACCAAAATGAACACAACCGTATGAACCAGAATAAATTAGGATTAGTGATGTGTGTTGCTTATTGTCTCGGTTTACTGTTGTGGTGAACAGTTCAAGATTCCATATCCACTGCATCACCAAGTAAATCCGATAAGTATTCACTAGGGTACGTTCAAATCCAAAAGACACATCTCCCGATGCATCTCTTATCCGCATGTACTCTCAAATTCTTCCTATTGTTCATTCATATGGGGGATTGTTGGAAATTATATATTATAATTAATATTATACCATTTAATTTTTGTATGAATGAAAAATAAGAGTCATGTGTCATAGTTGAATTCAAATTCATGAGTTGTATCTGTTCGTTGGAACTTTAGGCAGCAGTCATAATGTTTCAAAAAGGGTGGCTTGAGTTCTATATGAACTTAAGCATCCCACCTGTCTAAAAAAATTAAGAGAAGAGTTTTTTCCAATGTCTTGGTAAAAATCTGAGTCGTGTCTTGAGAGTACAAAATATATGAAGTTCACCAGAGTCCGAAGATTGAAATGCTTTAACTTCGGATTATAGATTGTTGAATCCTGGAAGACGGACGCCTACCGAACTACAAGCACAAGAGTATGGGACATTGCATTTATGTAAGCCTCAATTTCCAAGTTTGTCAGTTTTTCTAACTTTCTCTTTAGTTGTTTATATTAAGGAAGACTTTGGATGCGATCCTTAACTATGAATATTCTTTGATAACCTTGTTGGTTTTTAATTTTTGATCGAGGTCCCTGAAATCAATGTGATAATTTATTTCTATGTACGTTACTATATTTTTTTTAATTAAAAATTAGAAATTTTAGTTGTTTATATAAATGAGATTTTAAATAAAAAAACCATAATTTGTGGGATTAAAAATATTAAAATATAAATATACTATTATGTGTGTGTGTGTGTGTGTGTGTGTATAAACATGGGTACATTCATCAAAATTAACCAAAAAAATTATTGTATCAAAATATGGGTACATTCTTCAAAATCACAAAAAAAAAAAGATATTATGTTTAATAACATTAGTAAATTTCTTCGATTAAACTTGACATAGATACATTTTAAAATCAAAGAAAAAAGAATGTACCCATATAAGTTTAAAAATGGATTAAAAAATTGAATAGATTTTATATTAAAAAAAATGGTACATTTTACATATAACAAATTGATATAGTTAAGAATTAGTACATTTTAAGATTAAAAAGTTATACATGAATGGGTACATATAATTAGCATGGGTACATTTAGCAAAATAAAAAGTACAAATAAAAAAAATATATGGGTACAAATACAAATAAACTTTAAAAAATATAGGCACAAAAAGAAATTAATATATGGGTACAAATTAAAACTGAAAAGAAAATTGGTACAAATTAAAAAAGAATTACAAATTAAAAATGGGTACAAACTAAAACTAAAAATATATGATAAAAAAATTTAGTCATAAATATAAATATACTAATTGTAACATTTTTAACTAAATGAATATATTTAGAAATAAAAAATTATTTTATTATTAAAATAATTAATGATATTATTAATACCTAATGACCCTGATCAAAATTTGAAAATGAATAGGATTTTAATCAATGGAATAGCAAAAGGAATGATGAGAATTTAATTTCTCCTTATATTAATCTCATACATAAATTAATGTTGTGAATTTCTTTATGATTATTATTAATAGAATTCTTGTGTTATTTTCATATTTTCTAATATTACTCCAACATCTACATCCTTCAAGGCAATGTACAAACTATATATAGAATCGCAAATTTCTTTCTAGATTACCTGAGCATGTCTCCGCTTTGGAATTTTGGGCCGCTCAAAGCTGGTGATATGCTGAACGTGTTACCGTTGTCGTTGCCATAACTTGAAGGATGACCAAGGGGCATCGGCCTATCTGGAATCCGTGGCACCTCAATATCTCCCTCCAACATTTTCAGGGCATCCAAAATGGTAGGCCGTAAAGCCACCATTACATGAGCACACAAAATGCCGACCAGCAAATATCTCTCCATTATGCTCTTCGGATTCGAATTCGCATTATCCCCATCTTTCACCAATGAAAAGTCTAAAGCCTGCTCAGCTTTTCCAGATTTCACCAATGACCAAGCCCAATCTGTGATCAGAAAAGCACGAGGGGATCCCAAAGACAAATCAAGAGCTTTCCTCCCACACATAATCTCCAAAATAACCACTCCAAAGCTATAAACATCGCTCTTCTCAGTCAGCTGTCCATAAAGAGCGTATTCGGGGGCTAAGTACCCGTGAGTCCCTGCCACTCTAGTAGTGAGATGGGACTGGCCTTCCATGCTCTGTTTTGCAAGCCCAAAGTCCGCCACCCTCGCTTTCATATCTGCATCTAGTAGTATGTTTGTCGCCTTAATATCTCTGTGATATATTGCAGGCTTCACTCCATAGTGCAGATAAGCTAAACCCTTGGCCACATCCAATATTATGCTCTTTCTTTGAGGCCAAGTCAAGGGTCTCCTTTCAATTCCGCTCGGATTACTTGACTGAGAAATAAAGAGATGGTCATCTAGATTCCCATTCGGCATGTAATCGTAGACAAGGTACCTGTGACTTCCTTTCTCCTCGTAATTGTCTTCCCCCTCGACCATACAACACCCTCTAAGCGGGACAAGGTTTCGGTGCCTCAAATTGCTAATAATCTCAACCTCATTGCAAAACTCAGCATCCCCTTGAATATCAGATTCTATAACTTTCTTAACAGCAACTGTAGTCCCATCCTGCAACACACCCTTGTAAACAACACCAAACCCACCTCGACCGATAAAATTCTTCTGCGAAAAGTTATTAGTTGCCTTCTCAAGGTCCTGAATTTTGAACCAAATTGAACCAGTGTTTGGTCTCACTCTACTCCTAGAATCTCGTTCTTCCAAGTCGAAACCGGATTCCATCCCTTCGTTCTTCCACCTCCTATCATACCAAAAGTACAATCCCAACAAACTACACATAACAAACAACGCAACTCCAGCGCCAGTGAGGCCGAAAACAAGAGCAGTATTGCTCTTTTTCGACGAAGGCGTATTTGAATCAAACGACAACCCAAATATACAGTTCACAGCACCATTACTCTCAGGGCCAAACTCGTTAACAATACCAGCAGCATAAAGAATAGTAAAGTACCAACAGTCCCGAGTGTGAGAAGAGTTACCATCAACGGCAAGCAGCTTCTTCTGAACGGCAAGGCCGGCGTCGACGCAGCCCCCGCAGGAGGAGAGATCGGTGAGGTCAGGGCGGCAGGCGGAGTCAAGGACGGTGGAGTGGCCGAGCTTGGAGACCCAATCATTGGTGGACTGAATGTTGGCGCAGATGTTGGGGGTGATGACAAACTGGAGAGGGTCCCAGCAGTAGTTGACAATATTGGGAGGGAGGGAGAGGGAGGAGAGGGAGGAGAGCTTGGACTGGTAGTTTTGGAGGCAGGAAATGGAGGTGGGGAGGTTGGGGAGGTTGAAGAGGGAGGTTTCTTTGAGGCGTTGCGCGAAGGAGATTCCGAAGAGGGACAAAAGGGTTTGGCAGCAGGGGTTATTGGTGGGGTCCTCCGACTCCATTTGTGGGGTTTTGGGAGGAGGTTGGAAGTTTTTGCAGGTGGAGGAGTTGAAGGGGATTCTTAGGACATAGCTCAGATCCATGGGACATGTTGCTGTTGTTGTTACTTTGGTTGTGGGGGGAGGAGGAGCTGGTGCTGGTGCTGGTGCTTCTGCTGCGGTTGATGGAGATAAGGTAGAGAGACAAAGTAGAGAGAGAAACAACCAAAAACCACATGCAAGTTTCATCATCTCTTCTCTTTGTCTGCTCTAAATTTCCAAACTTTCTAATAAATTCCGAAACTTTAGGTTGTGGGCTGTGATTGTTTTGGAAAAGATAAGCTGCTGTGTAGCTACTTCTAGAGAGAGAAAAGTTTCTAGAGGGAGAGAAAGGAACTGAATTGCTTGGTGTGCTGCGTTCGAGTTCTGAGCCACTGTGCCAGTGAGTTTGAGAGATGGGGTTTGGTTTGATGAGTCAAACCTCCTCTGCTTAATTTCTGCTGGCTGCTGGGTTTGGTTGGCGTCACGGTAACTGTCAAAAGGCGCGTGACCAATACAAAATATGATTAGACTAGATTTGGTAATTAATTACTAATTATTTAATTTAAACACTGTTGCGGCGGCGGTTTCAGTAGATTTTTTTTGTTCTACGTAGCTTTGTTTTTGTTTGTGGGCCTCCTCTGTTTTATGTAACTTTCCAATGTACCAGGAGGATCCCGCCGAATCTTTTTGTGAATATCCTAGATCTTTCGATTATAATTGTTTATCGTATATCGTACAATTAAAAATTATTGTAAATTTTTTAATTTAAAATTGAATTTAAACAGTACCTAATAAAAACTGACCGTACAATGAACGGATGTGATTAAATGATCTATAAGATCCTCATAAAGAGGATCCGACGAGGATCCTCTCTCTCCGATGTATATGTTATTTTATTTTTTTAATTTAAGTATTCTAATCAATTATGTATTTTTAAGTATAAACAAACATTTATTTATATAACATAAAACAGTTAGGCCTCTAACTAGTACCCTAAGCGCTAGTTCGGCTAGGCTCCAATATACCGCCGAACTAGCACCTAACGCTTTTTAGAACTTTAGTTCATACTTCATAGACGTATGAAAGTTTATATATTAGACATTATAAAGGATATATTAATAGATGATTGGTTTCTAAACTTTAGAGAGGGTAGGGTGATGAAAGTACATAAAACAGTTAGGTTTACTCGGAAATAACCTAAAAATAGAAACATTTTAGTGTAAAATTAAATAATTAAAAACGACATGACATATGCATGCCACAATAACAAACACACTTTCCCTTCATCTCACCCAAAAAACAACACTAATATTTTGCCTCACAAAAGCTCCTGAGGAAACGCTTCTTCATCTTTGGATCCCCAGCCATTCTCTTCCGGTATCGATCGATTGACCTCCCTCCTCCACCCTCCTCCTCCTCCTCCTCTCCTCCCCCTCCCCTTTATGGGGGATCGTCCACGTTCAGCCTCGACGTCGGATCTCTACAACATGCTCGGAATCTCGAATATTTGCAAAGGATACAAATCCTTTGTTATGAAATTGGCCCCCAACAATAAGAATGGAGAATCCAAGTTTACGGACAATCACGACACCAACAAGGTAACAAATGCTCTCATCAAAACCATAATCCCTAATCATTAATCATGCAACTAACACGTGATTTACCGATGTGTAATTACGTTTTGTTAAATTTAATGACATGTTTTCCGTGATTTATATATCAAAATTTACATGTATCATGCTGTTGGAAATTTTTCTAGCTTGTTCCTGATGTAATTTTATGCTTGATCTGCATAACGATTGAAACTGAGGAGCAGGAGGACGAAAATTTTACGATTAGTTATCCAACGACACCGGTAGGCAGTTTCGAACGAAGTGTTGATGATAACTTCCTCTCCCGCCGAAGTCTTTCAAGAACAACGAGTAGAAGATCTAAGACACCTACACCGATGAGCTTCTCAAGATGTGCAAGCCGGAGCACCTCTCCGACATCCTCATCATTATCGAGAATTATGAGTCGAAGAAATGCCTCTGAGACCGAAATCTCTGCCCCTATTTCGAGAAATAGGGGTCGAAGGAGCACTTCAGAGATTGACATTCCTTCCCTTACATCAAGAAATATGAGCCGGAGGCACCCATCTGAGACTGAAATACCTTTACCATCACCCACCGCCGCTTCAGCACCCACCACTCCATCACCGGTCTCTCCATCGCCAACCTCTCAATCATCAAACGCCAGTAAATCAGGCACGTCAGATCAACCGGAGTCTTTATCAAGAAGCGTGAGCAGGAGGAGCACAACCCCCATTGTGTTCTCTCGAACAACTGCAAGAAAGAAACCTCTTCCGATCGAGAAGAAGCTGGCATTCACACTTGAAGAGTTGTGTCACGGATGTTTAAAAAAGATCAAGATCACAAGAGATGTAATCAACAATGCCGGGTTTGTTACTAACATTGCTGACAAACACTTACATAATTAAGCAGTCTGTGTGTGTATATATATGTATATAATGATGTGTGTGATGATATATCTACAGAATTATTGTCCAAGAAGAGGAAACACTGAAAATAAACGTGCAGCCTGGATGGAGGAAAGGAACGAAGATTACATTTGAAGCGAAAGGTGATGAGAAACCAGGGTACCTCCCAGCCGACATAGTCTTCTTGATAGATGAAAAGAGGCACAATCTGTTTAAAAGATCAGGCCGCGACGATTTGGAAATCGCTGTTGAGATCCCTCTGGCAGATGCACTGGGAGGCTGCTCATTTCCAGTTCCTCTGCTAGGAGGAGACAAAATGAGACTTTCATTAGACGACATCGTAAATCATGGCTATGAAAAAGTCATTCCAGGACAGGGAATGCCAAAGCTTAAAGAGCCAACAAAGAGAGGCGACCTCCGGATCACATGTCTCGTAAATTTTCCAACACAGTTGAGTGACGAGAACCTAGCAGAAGCAGTTCAAATTCTACAAGATTGTTCTTATGATTAACAGTTCAAATATCTCTCCATCATTTCTGACTTATGAGCAGAGGAACCAATCAGCATTGGGACGAAAAGAAAAATACTCACACTAGTATCTAGCCATGTACAAAGCTCTACGGTGGAAACTATGAATATACATATAAATTCCTCTGAGAATTTTGCAACAGATAGTGTGTAATGTATTTGTGTCAAACTTAGCAATCTTTCTAATCCTTTGCTTATGTTTTCCAATACTGCGGTTAAGCTTGCAACTAATTATCTTTCATACAGAAATTCTACACGCTAAATCCTAAACTCCACATGCTTTACCCTAATCTTCCAACTAAGTTCAAATGTTTTATGCATATAAGCACAATTAGTACATCAATATGTATATGGCAAGGTAACATAATTCAAATCAGCATTTAACATATAGTTAGATACAGATTACCAATACTATATATAAATAACTGGCGTGTTTGATTGCCATGAAGAGCGAAAACTTCAAATTTGTATGAATCTGGCACAAAAGATGAAGTAAATGTGTTCAAAACGAAAACAACCTAGAGTAGAGTGTCACTGCACTGAAAATCTTGGACTCTAGCCAATCAACGGTAAACGTAACCAACCATTTGCACAAAATACCACAAATTAAACTTAATGCTATTTATTCCCTTTGGATGGAGAGCGTCAAAAGGATTGTCATTTTCCCTATTACTTATCACATTGTGTTTTGTTTTGGTAAACAACCACAAAACTCAAGCACAAATACAAATTGGGTTTCAAATTTGTAATGTAGGGTTTATTGCACCTCAAGAGCTTGAGCTTTTCGATGGTGGGCGTTGCCCAGCAAGAAAAGGTACTTCTACCACTGTTCCAGTAATGGCATCTCCAACAATTACGGTGTCTCCCTCCGAAACAGATTGTCTCTTGATATAGCCTAAACCAATATATCCAGATTCCTTTTTTCCAGATGTGCAACTTGTCAGCTTTCCAACCTGTGAAAATTTCAAAAGCTGTTATGATGCCAACCATGAAGCTTGTGTTTCATTTTCTGCCCGCAACCAGTGACATGGAGCTTCTATTTCCCAATGTTTTAACAATACATTAAGAGTTAAACAACTACTACCTTTTTCCCTCCAACTGTAAGAATGCTGCCAACCTCTGCCGGCGCTGCTAGACAAATCCCCCAAAGTCGTTGCTTGACTCCATCATATGTTATGAGTCTAGCTATAGTCTCTTGTCCTTTGTAGCACCCTGCAAAAAAGATTGAATTAGACCAGCTATTTTATTCGACCAAAAAAAAAAAAAAAAGGACCAGCTATTTTTTCATTTTTCTGTAAGATGTATACCAGTAAAGAGTATGATACCTTTGTTTAAAGAGATTGAATTCCAGAGACCAGCCTCCAAGACATTATATTCATTGGTAAGCTCCTTCTGAGGCGCTGGCCTTCCTGCAAAAGTTAGCGGGGGCAAATGATCATGTGGGAAAATCACAGAAAACTGAACTATAAAAGATTATACTCACTACTTTTATCAAGAAACCTTTGATTACATATTTCTATATCTAATCAGCTATAGCATTCAATGTTTTAAAAGGCTCGCCTCAGGGCGTGCCTAGGCGCCCTGTGAGGCTGGGCTTGAGGGTTGCCGCCTCTGTTTTGAGGGAGTGAGCGGAAGGCGTCGCCGGAGCCGCCTAGGCGTGCCTCAGGGATTTTTTTTTTTTTTTTTATAATTTTTTTAATTTATTTTTTTTATTACTCCCAAACCCAAATTTTGGGTAGGGTTTTAACTACCTCATACCTCTTCCTTGCACTATCACCTCTCTACCTTGTTTTCTGATTTTTATTTTTTATATAATGGATGTGTGTGCCTTCTACGTGCATTGTTATATGTATGCTCATTGTGCTTTTCATCCTCTATTATATATATATAATATAATATATGTATATATATATATATGTGTGTGTGTGTGTGTGTGTGTGTGTATGTATGTATTTATAATATATGTGTGTGCTTAGGGTGATTATTGATTAATAATCTTCTTTTTTTAATATAATATAAGTGTACGCTCAGTGTATATATTAAAAAATTTAGGTCCCGTGAGGCTTCGCCTCACGCCTAGGCTATCCCTCGGACGCCTCGCCCACGCCTCACGCTTTTAATACATTGATAGCATTCCATAAAAATTACTTTATTTGTTGTTAAAACATGAGGAATTAAATAAGAAATTTTCCTTTCCATGTTAACACCAAAAGCATGTTTTAGTCCACTGTGAGATTGTATATGAAATTACTGATGTGAACTCAGCGAATTTCAAATTTCAGTTGTTTCAAACAGCAACAAGAAAATGAAAAATCTTCTGCCACTGAAATTTAAATATTAGGTGACTTTGTACACACTAACTTGTCAAAGTTAATCAAATTGGTAGCTAAGAATACAAAATAGATGATAGTCAACATATGATAATCAGTATATATAATGAAGAAGTTAGTGTGTACAATTTTCTCCGTTTGGTTGAGATGTGACCAATTTTTACATGAATTGGTGAAGTGGGTCCAACTCTGATGACATTTAATTTGTTGACTTTTTAAACTAATGTTGTGAAAGTGGAGAGTTGCATTACTTTGAACTTTGAAGTGACCGCTTAGCAGCGAGGAAGATGTTCTTCCTCACTAGTACTTTGTAGCCAAGCATTTTTCATGTAAAAAGGGGTAAAAGTAGCAACATCTAAATCACGAATTCTCTACCTTGGAAAATTCGTAGTTTTTCCCATGCATTAGAGCCCATCGGGATAGCACCCTGTGACAGAATAGTTTTCCATACTGATTCAGCGGTAGCTGGTGACATCAAAAATGAAAAACCTTTTTCAGAAATGACATTTCCCACTCCCACAGTTATAGGCATCCCGTCAACCTGCAAAGTAATCGGATGTCTTAATAAGCTCTCTTGAAAAGAATAAATTGACTTTCAACTCTCATGTTGTTCCAAAAAATGATGAAATCAGAACTAACGCTTACACTAAAATGCTGATGTGTGCCATATGGTTGTTCAACAAGGTCACCTAGGTTTAACTCCTTCATCAGCTGTTCTCGTTGAAAAGAAAACCAATAACATCATTAAGCTTCAGGATACTAAAAAGCAATGTCAAAGGCCAAAATAATATTGCCATATAGAAGAAGAGTTAAGAGGCCTTACTTGGTTGCTTTTAGGTCCTACCAAAACAAAGAAGCAAGTTTGCTTAGTGATGTCTTGAATCTCTACCTTGTCATTAAAGAATATGTACCTATTGATAACAAAGAATAGTGATGACATTTATTACATGGGATGGGACTTATTCAAAATAAAATGTATATCAACTGAAAATCTTCCCGATCATCCCTAACTTGTACCAGCATAGAAAATTGTCTATCCCCCTATCTCCAAATGATCTGGTATCTATGAAAGAAATATTTTAACTAAAAATTTTCAGGCCAAGCGTAATTGGAGCATTTTTAAAAGTGTAAAAGCTAATGTGAGTTCTACTGAAAACTTTCTTTGTAAAGTTCTCTTCTTTTGAAAAATTGTAGTTACATTAGTAACTTCATAGTGCTGTGGTATGTAACAAGACACCATCTTTAAAATTTCCAAAAACAACAGCAACTTAAAAGAAGAAGCACATACTTTTGCAGCATTTCAGAGATACTTCTCGAAGTCACAGGTGAAACAACTAACATTACTGCATTTTTCTGGGAGCACAAAAAATCATATATAAATAACAGCCTTGATGACAAAAATATGAAGATTAATTAAAATTCGGGGAAACCAAACAATTGAAAAAAAGAAGAAGGAAGATTACCATGATCCATGCATGTGCAATATCTATTGTCCGGGCTGTTGGTGTAACAAAAACAGTGTCGCATCCCTATGGATTTCAAGCAGAAATCCTATTACTCAAGCCTGTATATTGTATAAATACAAAAGTTGCATCAAACAGAAACTTGCGTTCACTGCACAAATGCAACCAACTTCTGATTACATCCCACCAAATATTACCTGTCCTTGATGAAGGCTTTCAAAATTGGCAGTGGTTTGGTTGTGAAGAAACTGGATACGGTCCTCTCCACTAACTTCATGATGAACAGCCAAATTCATATCACAAGGGAAAAACACAGTAAGGTATCCGTGAACACCAAATACTACCGGCTTGACATATATTTAAGTCTCTAACATTTAGCAAAAGACTATGACCTGAAAACAAAGGATGACCAGGTGAAAAACATAATAACCAAAGACAACACCTTGAAAACTAATGTGCAAGAAAAGACCTGCATCACTGACACTTTAGTAGTGTTTCTTGTATATGCTCACAAGGATATACCAAAATGAATAAACGGACGCTCGACTCATCTTGACTTAGCTACACAAGGAGCTTGACTTGGTAACTGGTACACTGCTTGGCATCTGGTCAAGCAACTTAATGCCTTGGAGCAGGGACCACGCTACTCCAACAGCTCTACACAAGAGAGCAACATGTTTGCCTAGAAGGACCAAGCTACTCCAAAATTATATTTGAATACCTATTGGATAAAGATAAACTGGTACTTTGGGCATCTGTTCCTCATGCTTTCTGTGAGTGTCCTTTCTTCTAAATTTCAACATAAATAATTGTTTTATGTTTTCCTGACTAGATTGCCTGGTTCTTGATTACATTTGTTTGGACAGCTGCAGTTATAGCCGTCCTTTTTACTGATTTGCATCATGTGAGGGTTCTCTATTTTGGACTATGGTCTCGTTCGACTGTAACTCTCAGTTTTCTAATAATATAATCACTTATCTAATTGAAACATATTCATTGTGACATCTTGTGATTGTCATTTATCCAATTGGGAAACCTAAGGCCAACCAATTGCTTGGTGACAAAGTAGGAAAGCAAATGTAATGCAATCTCCAATTCCTTGTGAAAAGTGGCCTTATTAGGAAACAGAATCTCATGCCTCTAGAAAAGTACAAACAGGTAAGTTTCCAATTCAGTTAATATACTTGAGGAAAGTAACAGGAAAGATAATATACCTCTTATCCGTCCAAAATGTGAGAGGTCCACGACCTGAGGCAATATATGCAATTAAGAAAATTAGAATAAAGGTTTCACAAAATCAAGCGATACAATTAAACCTCGTTTAAACTTAGCATTGATGCTCTAATACGTACAGACATAAAAAATAAAAAAAACTTCTTCAATTTTGTGAAGAAACTAGTGTACAGTACCTAAAGAAAACTACACACAGGTAAGAACCAATCTTATGTCATCTAGTCTCACTGATTCAAGTCATCCGGTTCGAATTTGCAGCTGTTTACATGGCAAGCCTATGTTGATATACAAGTATACATTTTATTGATATAAATGCACATCCGGAAATGCTGCCTTAAAATCAGATATTTGCCACCATAAATTGCATTTTGATCCAAAGTTAGACATAATATCAAGCGGAGAATCACGAAAGGACAGTGTACTAAATGAGAAAAGCGCGTCAAAAATACAGCGTAATGCAGAAGTTTTTTTTAAGGAATATAACAAAGAACTCAAAGATCATGCCTTTTTCTTTCTGTCATAGGAAATTTCAGCAGATGGTAACTTTTTTTTTTTTGAGAAGAAACAATTTTATTAAAGAATAGAGAACAGCACAGAAGTGGATAAGAAGTCCACTAACTGTATAACAAGGAAAAACCATTAGGATTTGGCTACAGCAGCCATTTCTAGACCTAGCTCACTTAACTGCTGCTAATAAATCCCATAGAATTTGAGATAGAGAAACATTATCAAACTCTTTAGTGACCGAGGCCCAAAGAGCTGCCCAATATTTTAGTGACCGAGGCCCATAGAATCAGCAGATGGTAACTTAACATCAATCTTGTGAACAAACCCACATTCGGAAACAAAAGTTCTCGGGACAAATTCAGATTGTCGAAAACTCGCTAAACCATCCATAATTAACCTTATAAATCTTGCAATTCAACAGCTTTTATCATTTACCAAGTTCTCAAGCATGCAAACCCACAAATATCCAACTCAAAAACTGTGCAAGAACTGAAAAATAGTGCGAAAAACACGCACCGCGACACCATTGTCAGCCGCATCCAATGCTTGGTCATCGTTATCGAAAGTTTCGATAATCCCATCATCAGAAACCTTTGCTCCTGCAGTTGCCACAGTGTCCTGCAATTTCCAACATTTTTCTCCTTACCTAAGTTCTTGTTCCAAATTCCAGACAAAACAAACAGAGAAATCCTACCTAGGACTAGGAGGAGGAGTGGGAGAGACTTACGATGAGGTCGTGGTCGATAGGAGGAGGGGAGAGGTCGAAGGGCAAGGAGGAAGAAACGACGCGGCTCCTGGTCGTTTTGGAAGAGAGCGTGAACTTCTGCTTCTGCTTCTGGTTGTGTTGATTGTTCTTGGCCTGAGTAGAGAGAAACGCACCGTTCTGGTGGAGATAGGAGAAGGAACGCCATGGCCGTGGATTGAGAAGCAGAAAATCACCTGCTGCTGCTGTTATTGGTGCTGCCATTTTTCTTGGATTGGATTCTTTTGCTCGTGGAGGACCCTCACTCGGACAACGCTGGCCATTTTAGCTTCAGAGTGACTCAGTAACTTCTTTTATTTTTACTTTTGGGCTACACTCGGTAACTTTTTTTTTTTTTTTTGGAAGATTGGAAATTTTCATAACACTCGGTAACTTTTTTTTTTTGTCGGTAACTTTATTTTTGTGACAAAAATATATCGATTTTACTTTATACTATAGTTGATCCAAACCAAATTTAACGTATAAGTTGTTGGTTCGGTTTGGTTTCATTAATTTCTAAATTCAACATATAAATAGTTAGTCCGGTTCGGTTTGGTTAAATTTACAAAAGCTCGAACGATAATCAAACCGAATTTATTAAGGTTTAGTCCAATTTTAGGCTGTTTGACTTTTTTTTTTTTTTTTTTTTTTTGTCAAAACCAAAGCATATCGGCTACTATAGTTTGGATCGGCCAATTTGGTCAGTTCTATTAGATTACTGCAATGACAGGAGAATGAAAACTATATATATTGTTTTTAAAATGACCATGCAGCTTCAATTTTCTTACTTTACGCCATAATACAATCAAATTCTATCAGTTTGTGCCTTCAGTCGAATTGATCGTTTATTAAATTGATGACAACGCAAGGTTCTTATATTGCTTTTAAATGTGCTGATGCACAAAATCTAATAGACTTCGAATCAACGTAAAGAACGGTGTGAGGAACTTCGCAAAGGCATCCGGTCAAGGGTAGATGGGTGAAACAACTTGCAAGGTAAAGTAAGTATCGAAGGGCATCGGTATGGTACTAGCCTAAGAGCTAAGAGCCTCCAATGCTTAAGTTAGCAAAGTGTGTTTAAGGTGCCCCGTGGGCGAGTTTAATAGTAATATAGTGTTTAAGTAGTAATAGCAATTACCCTTTGAATGGAGTAGAAGTTACCCGACAAAGTTGGAAAAGATTCCTTGACTTTGGCCAAAGTGGGATTGAGTGCATTTATCGTGGTGTTGCCACTTTTCGCATTGCCTTCAAGTTGGAGAGAAATCTTCCATTAGTCATGGGAGTAGTCAAGTGTTGTGAGATTGATCCGTGCGCTTCAGCAAGGGTGTCGAAGCGGGGGCCTTTAGGAGGGTTACCGAGGTTCCTTAGTTGACCGGTACTCGGTGGTTTCATACTCGATATATATGATTCCAGCAACATATAAGTCCCATTGCACCACGTTGATAGCAAGGTAAAGAAACTAGAAACTCTTTTGCCCATTTTAAAAATAGTTAAAACTCCAGGAATTTTATCGAAAAGCTCTCGATATTGTTCATTTTAACGCAAAATTATATTTTTACACTAAAAAATCAATCATAATACTATTTACTTTATCATTTGTTTTATCTTTATCGTTAACCTTCAAAAATTTCAAATCATTTCCATTAATTTTTCTAAAACCATAGGTTGGAAAATAGAGTCAAAACTAGGCACAAGACAACTTGTCTTTTCGGCTGGGCTGTGCACCGGCTCTGCGGGAGTAAGCGGAGGGCTGCTCTGTTTGCATTCCTTGCAAACACGCGCATATTACAATTCAACACTTTAAAGAATGAGCCTTGACCTGCAAGCATTGGTTCGAATTCTCCATTCCTGCAACACCCACCATTCAATCCACATCGGAAAGCAGCTCCACCTTATCTTCCTCAAAAAGGGTGTTTTAAACTCTGCCGTCACCCTCGGAAACCGTCTGATGCAGATGTATGGGAAATGCGGAAGCATGGCTGATGCACGGAAACTGTTCGACGAAATGCCCCAGAGAAACTGTTTCTCCTGGAACACGTTGATAGAAGGTTATATGAAATCTGGGGACCAAGAAAAGTCTTTGGAGTTGTTTGAAGCTATGTCCCATAAGGATGATTTTACGTGGAATTTGGTTGTTTCGGGGCTTGCTAAAGCGGGTAAGCTAGAGATTGCTCGGGGTTTGTTCAATGACATGCCTAGGAGAAATTGGGGTGTTTGGAATTCTATGATTCATGGATATGCCAAAAATGGGTGTCCTGGAGAGGCTTTAAGGCTTTTCAAGGAATTGAATTCGGACGCGTTGGAATTGTCAAGTGAATATAAGTTTGTGTTGGCTACTGTTGTTGGAGCTTGTGCCGATTTGCTTGCGCTGGGTTGGGGCAAGCAAATCCATGCGCGCATTTTCATTGATGAAGTTGAATTTGACTCTGTTTTGGCTAGTTCGTTGGTTAACTTTTACGCGAAGTGCGGGGATTTGGATAGCGCGGGCCACATTTTAAACATGATGAAGGAACCAGATGATTACTCTCTCTCAGCATTGATTTCAGGTTATGGAAATTGCGGTAGAATGAATGATGCAAGAAGAGTTTTCAATACAAAAAGCAATCCGGATATTGCGTTGTGGAATTCATTGATTTCTGGATATGTTAACAATAAAGAAGACAATGAAGCATTAATTCTCTTCAATGAAATGCTGAGTAATGGTGTTCGTGGAAATTCATTTACGCTTGCAAGTGTTTTGAGTGCCATTAGTATCTTAGGCGTCCTTAGACGTGCTGAACAAATGCACACACATGCCTGCAAAGTTGGGCTGATCGGGAATGTTATCGTTGCAAGTGCTATTCTTGATGCATACTCGAAGTGTGGAAGTCCTATTGACGCTTGCAGATTGTTTAGTGAGCTCCAAACCTTCGACACAATATTGCTTAATTGTATGATCACTGTGTATTCAAATTGTGGGAGAGTCGAAGACGCTATACAGGTTTTCAAGGCAATTCCAAGTAAAAGCTTGGTATCTTGGAATTCAATGATGGTAGGCCTTAGTCAAAATGGTTGCCCAATTGAAGCATTAGATCTTTTCAGGCAGATGAACAAGCTGGACTTGAGGATGGACAAGTTTAGCCTTGCTAGCGTGCTCAGTTCATGTGCTAGTATATCCTCACTTGAATATGGCGAACAGGTCTTTGCCAGAACTACCATCCTTGGGCTGGATTGTGATGAAATTGTATGTAACTCGCTTGTTGATTTGTATTGCAAGTGTGGTCTTGTTAATAGTGGGCGAAAACTGTTTGACAGAATGGCAAAGTCCGACGAAGTTGCTTGGAATTCGATGTTGATTGGTTACGCTACAAATGGTCACGGAATTGAAGCGCTAGCTCTTTTCCATGACATGAGGCTTTTGGGAGTGAAACCCAATGAGATTACATTTACAGGGGTTTTGTCTGCCTGTGATCATTGTGGGTTGGTTGAAGATGGACGGAAATGGTTTTACAAGATGAAACAGGACTATCATATCGATCCAGGCATCGAACACTACACTTGCATGATTGATCTTTTCTCTCGCGCTGGTTGCCTTGAGGAAGCAATGAATCTCGTTGAAGTGATGCCTTTAAAGGCAGATGCAAGCATATTGTCATCGGTCCTAAGAGGTTGTGTAGCTCATGGACGCAAGGATCTTGGGAAGAGAATGGCAGAGCGAATCGTTGAGCTTGATTCTGAGAACTCAGGTGCTTACGTTCAGCTGTCTAACATATTTGCAGACGTGGAGGAATGGGAAGGATCTGCACAGGTTAGACAAGTCATGAGAGATAACGGAGTACAAAAAAATCCCGGTTGCAGCTGGTTTGATCGTTGAAGAAGAGACACTTATGGCAAGTTAGTTCTTGGAAGCCTTCCAGGATATGTGAAATGCAAATGGAAAGGTTCATTTCACCAACCCAAGGTGGGAACTTCGGCATATCACCGGAGTGTCAGGTGACAGCACGCCTGTACTCGAGCTTAAGAACACAAAGACGACTGGACTTGTCTTCACAAAAACAACTGTAGGGCAATCGCCTCATTAGTTAACGACCATCGAATGAGTGCACAAACCCGTGATTCAACCAGCAACCACGGCGTTTAGGAGCCATCTCAATAGAACAGGAGGCGCACAACCCTCCCAAAAGCTGAGCAACTAGATCATGTGGTTGATGCAGGTACTAAATCACTCTTTTCGGCTTTGCGGATGTCATACAGAAACTTAAGCTGGCCTGGCCGGGCGGTTATTTGGGATTAGCAAACTTAAATTTCTAAGGAATTCCAAATGACGAGATTTTGTTTTTTAAAATTTGTATATCTTCTTGTTCGCTAATCTAAAAGAATAATGAAATTTAAATTCGAAACAAATGTGTATATAGACACTGCTCTTAGAACAAAAATACTTTATTGGGCAGCTTTCGACATTTCATTGTAAAAACTAGGGATCCAGAAACATATCACGGGGCGGCATACGAAGGAACTGGGAGAAACGGAAATGGTGCAATTGAGGCGTATGATACAGGCGGGCGAACTTGCGTGCCATCTGTGGAATTCCTCAACCTATTCTTCCGATTGACATTGCCGTCTTGTGAGGGCAACGAAAGCTCAACGCTACTCTCGAAATTCTCCTCAGTAAGGCATTGCTGGTTTTCAACGATACGGTGAAACAGAATCCCAGACATAAATACAGGAAGATAAAGAAGGCTGGCATGAAACATCTTCCTTGCTTTATGTCTAGTCCGGTCTCGATAGAACGAAAATGATGTTGCAGCTATGGCGAGAGTAAGAAGAGTAGATTCAAGACAAAACCATCCGGACGTCATACCCCCTGCAGACAGATGAAATGGGTGGAACCCAACATTAATTATTCTCTGCTTAGTGATCAAAGGCCAAAGATTGCATCTCAAGCAAGGATTAAGTTAGTCATTCTACGACGAAGAGAGTTGCATAATAACAAAGATGACATGTCTGATTAATCAACCGCTTATAGACGTACCACGATGATCAAGAAATTAAATTTATCGAACATTGGTAGAAAAGAGGAAGAAAAAGAAAAGCGCTCAAAGATCTTTACGAGAAGACAACCACCAACAGAAATACAAAAATACAAATATAAACACGGTAAGAAAAAGAAAGAGGGTTTGTGAGTCTTGGACTTACAGTCATAGGCCAAGAACCCCAACGGGATCATGTATATGCAATTCCTTAAAGCCACTGAGGCTGTTCTCCGACCAGAAGCATCAGCAAGGGAGAACATCCT